TTTAAGATCCTTACTCTGTGAACAGTGAAAAATAATCTGATTAAAACAAAACACTTCAGAAGTACACTGAGGGGAGAATTAATGGAATTTGTTTTCCATAATCCCTGTTAACAAGGTTGACCTTCCAGGAAGGTTTGTGGGTCTTTTTTTACACTACTGATTCTTTTATTTTCATTGATCTTGTGACTGCCTTTTTCCCATCGCTCTGAGACTTACAGTAGCTTCAGCAGCAGCTGATTAGGGGAAATGCTGTTTGTTAGACGTAGGGAGTAAAAAAGAAAATGTCTTGCATTGGTGAATTGGTGTGGCTGTTTGATTTGTGGTTTTCTTCTGAAGACATTGCAGGGGTTTTCAATATATTGGGATTGTCCAGTTTGACCAGAGGTTCCTTGCACTTACCCTACTGAAAGGCTGTTAAGCTGGGAGTTTATCAGGTTTTTCTTCATAGTAACAGCACACTGCAAAAGTGTGCAACACCTCCGCAGAATGTCCTAGAATTTGATTTTTGTCCCAGTGGATCCAGTATAAAAATAGCTTCCAACTAATTCCTTCTGCTTTATCAGTAGACAGTAATTCCCTCAAGTTTAGTAGTTTTAATATATCCTTTTGAGGATATTAACTTTTTATGAGATGTACAAAAGAATTGAAGAGATGTATGAGGCCATTTAACAAGAGAATTCACAGGACCGCAGATTATACAAAATCTATTGCAAAAGCAAGAAGTGTTTCTACACACTAGCATAGCGCCGGTCAGTAAATCCACCCAATGTCCCCTTTCCTTCCATCTCCTCCCTGAGGGAATGGCAGTGCCCATGCTCAATTATGTGTCCCGCTTTTTCCCAACCCCCTTTTCTTGCTTTTTTCAGTTGTCCCATTGTCTTTGTCAGTGCAGCAAGCTATTCAGCGCTTGGACAATTATCTGATGCTCATTGGCCTAATTCTGCCAGACCTTCTCCCAACTCCCTGAGAAGAGGGAATATAGGGAAAGCTGCTCTGCTGCACTGCAGCTGCGGCTGAGCAAGTGTATGCGGCTTCTCAGGAGAGGCTTCAGTTACTGCAGGTACTCAAGCAGTTACACAATGTAATTTTCTGCTTGTTTCAGGATTGCATTGTAATTTTGAAAATTGCAGTATTTTTAACTCATCCTTTCTGCACTGCATCCTTCCCCAAACTTGCTTCTTTGCTTGAGTTATAAAATAAAGCTTGAAAGGACCAAGGATACACATATACACAGTAAAAGCATCTGATCTACAGTAATTCTCTTCATTCTCCCTCTGATTATTTAATTTATCAGTATTTGTAGTGATATAGTTTAAGGCTTTTTGTGGTACATTCATTTCTTCAGAGAGTCCCTCATGGTACTTTTCGAACTACAGCTATTACTACGATCCCACTTAAGGGCAATGAGGTTATTGCAAGCACAGATAAATATGATTTCCTGTAAATTTAATGCAAGGTAGAGATGGAAAGTCATCCTAGATCAAGTGTTCCTTCAAGTTGATTGTAGTCTGTGATAGTATATTTGCAATAATTTTTTCAACAATGCTTTCAAATGTCAGTTGATAGGATTTCAGCTAATTCCTGTGGTGCACAGGTTTTCCAGGGTAAGTCAATAAGCCATTCTAGAGTCAGAGATGCGAGGAACACAGCTTTTGCAGATCCTTCTATTGTGTACTATCCTGTACTAGTGCCTATGTTTCTTCCACGAGAGTTACACATGATTCCTAATGCCAATTCCTGTCCTACTTCCCTTAATGTTTGCTCCCTGGCACGTCTGCGTAGTTACTGGAGGGTGAGTGCCTGTGGCACACTGGAACATGGTGCCTGTGGAGCAGTGGCCAAGCCCCTGGGGCCACCAGTTCTACTCCTGCCAATTTGTGCTTGCCTTTTAATAAAGGGCAGATATAGTCTTTAGTATTAAATTTCATATCAAATGCTTTCCCTTCTCCCTACAATATGTTTTGGGTGCAAGTGTGGGAATGAACACAGTTATGTTTTTGGGAATTAAAGACCTTTCCATTAAGTGTCTCTTTTCAGTGCAGCCAGACGCATGTTGCCCTGTTAGCGGAACATGTTTGGACCCTGTCTGTGAAGTGCTTTTGCTACACACAAATGCTGCATGGTTGCTTAAAGGGATAAAAGTTAAAGATTCCCCAGCACTTGTGACTTTAGTTGCTTTATGTGTTACCTTGTCTCTTGCATTCTAGCCACTGCTACATTAAACAGTGTCTGATCATTAACAACCTGATTAGAAGGGCTTAGGGTAGGAAAGGGAAAAAAGCAAGAATAAAAAATATTTCTAGAGGGCCAGGTTTTCAGCAGTATAAATAGACAAAGGTTCAGTCAGTGAAGGAAGCTCAAAGCTGAAGGCAAATACGTTTTCCACTGACTCTTATTACTGAAGTCACGAGGGAGAGGGTAAAGAATGAGAGCACCAGAGTTCTGGGGCAGCAATTTATATCTCTCTCTTGAGCTGCACAGCACAGCTAGATCCTCTGATTATGCTTCATTTTTTTTTTAATTATAAAAACTACATTTATGAAGGCCATATAGGTATTTACTACAGTACACTGTAAAAAAGAAACAAACAAGAAACCCCCCCAGTTTTCTAGCTTGTTGGAAGTAGCATGTGCTTCAGCTGCTATCTAAGAAATACAAGATGCCTAATACCAGACAATGCATAAAAAAAACCTGTATGATTGTTGTTCTTGTTTGCAGTGCCTCCAAAGCCAGTTCATCTGCAGAAGGTGTCACCTGTTACATACCAAACCCGTATGCATAAAGCTTTATCAAATCAAAAACCAAGAATGGAGGAAGAGACATCCACCCCTGTTTCTAGTGTCACAAAGGAAAAGTCCAGTAAAGTGTCAGATCTCATCAATCGTTTTGAGGGAGGCAGGTATGTAATAGAATTTGAATCGGTTTGTAACTCTGTTGCATGTGAATTATTGGAACTTGAGCCTGGGAGGAAGAAAATTGATACTGAGGTAGTGCTCAAACAGATCTTTGCCAGAGGAGTTGGTGGAAAAACTGCATATGTTTTGAAATGGTGCAAGCCAATTGTGTATTTGGCCTGTAGAAGGTGTGCTTTTTCATAAGGTGATAGTCTTAATTTTTCTTCTAAAAACCAGAAGTAAACAAACTTGTAGTATTTTTAAAACATCCTGAAAAATGTCAACAATTTGAATTAAGTGCTGATTTTACAATGAAACCTTGGAGCTAATCTTCAATTCTTTTGTTCCTGCAGGAAAACAAAACAACACACATTTACTTATAGAAGCAAATAGAAATACCTGAAGTCCTATTTTTCCTTTTATACTGATTTAACCTCTTCAGATCATTCACATGAAGAGGGGAACTGTACAAGTTATTTGTATCAATATGGCATACATTCACTAAACTATTTGCTTTCTAATACTTAGTGATTTTGGTGGAAGAGCTTGATGTTTTTGAGTTTTGATACTGCCTTTTACAGGAAACATTTGGAACCTTGAGAAACACAAGCCATAGTGAACTTTGCTTTCACAAAATAGTGTTACTTGTGTGTCTTCAATTACATGTACATGACAAGCATTATAAGCTCTGAAACATAAGTTACTAATAGAATCATAGAATGGTTTGGGTTGTAAGGGACCTTAAAGATTATCTAGTTCCAACCCCCCTGCCATGGGCCCGGACACCCTCCACTAAACCAGGTTGCTCAAAGCCTCATCCAGCCTGGCCTTGAACACCTCCTGGGATGGGGCATCCACAACTTCCCTGGGCAACCTGTTCCAGTGCCTCACCACCCTCACAGGGAAAAATTTCTTCCTAATGTCTACTCCAAATCTCCCCTCTTTCAGCTTAAAACCATTGTCCCTCATCCTATCACTGCACTCCCTGATAAAGAGTGCCTCCCCATCTCTCCTGTAGCCCCCTTTAAGTACTGGAAGGCTGCTGTAAGGTCTCTCTGGCGCCTTCTCTTCTCCAGGCTGAACAACCTCCCAGTCTGTCCTCATACAGGAGGTGCTCCAGGCCTCTGACCATCTTCATGGCCCTCCTCTGGACTTACTCTAACAGGTCCATGTCCTTCCTGTGTTGAGGACTCCAGAGCCAGATGCAGTACTCCAGGTGGGGTTCCACGAGAGTGGAGTAGAGGGGGAGAATCACCTCCCTCGACCTGCTGGTCATGCTTCTTTTGATGCAGCCCAGGACACAGTTGGCCTTCCGGGCTGCAAGCACACATTGCTTTGTCATGTTCAGCTTCTCATCAGCCAACACCCCCAAGTCCTTCTTTTCAGGGTTGCTCTCAATCCATTCTTCCAGCCTGTATTTGTGCTTGGGGTTGCCCCAACCCAGGTGCAGGATCTTGTACGTGGCCTTGTTGAACTTCATGAGGTTCGCATGGGCCCACCTCTCAAGCCTGTCAAGGTCCTTCTGGATGGCATCCCTTCCCTCCAGTATGTTGACTACACCACTCAGCTTGGTGTCATCAGCAAACTTGCTGAGGGTGCACTCGATCCTAGTGTCCATGTCTCCCACAGAGATATTAAACAACAGCAGTCCCAGTACTGACCCCTGCAGAACGCCACTCATCACTGGTCTCCACTTGAACATTGAGCCATTGACCACAACTCTTTTGAGTGCAACCATCCAGTCAGTTCCTTGTCCAGTGAGTGGTCCTTCTGTCAAATCCAGGTCTCTACAATTTAGAGACAAGGATGTCATGTGGGACAGTGTCAAATGCTTTCAACAAGTGCGGGTAGGTGATGTCAGATGCTCTTCCCTTATCCACCAATGCTGCAACCTTGTCGTAGAAGGCCACCAAATTTGTCAGGCACAATTTTCCCTTAGTAAAGCAGAATACATGTGCTCTGTGTAAAGAGAGCGGCCTTCCAGAAAGCCCATGACAAAGGAACAGCTCAAGAAACAGTCCCGTGACAGTTAAGCACTGGAAATTTTGGACATAGCTTTCTTGTCTTTCCCTGGGATACTGATGTTCTGATGGGATGCCCCCTGTGGGAATGAATGCATGATGTACAACAGAGCATGTCCTTCTGAGGAGCCAGAGTATTAAGACTTTTATTGAAAGAATTTCCCCTCAAGATGGGGGAAATTCTGTCCTTTATACAGAAGCAGCTGAGCATTGCAAAAGTGCGCTTGTCTAGTGGAATAGAAATAATTTCAGAGCTTCATCTGCAAGCAATTTCTGTCATTAGGCAGAGACTTAATTGCACTTCTGTCATGCCAGCTGCTCAAAGATAGGAAAAATAAATTACTGCAGCACGGGAGGTCCTGTGAATTCTTCTAGCACAGGTCTCCAGCCCTCTTATCACTTTGTTTCCCAGTTTTCCTCCAAAGCATAATCTAAGTCTTTTTAGCAGTGTAGTATCCTTAGAAAAACAATTTTATCCTTTCTGAAAGGAAACTCCTCAGATTCATTGTGCCCTACACCAATGAGCCCTGCATTTCTTCCTGATAGACATACCTGCTGCATTGTACAGGAACTTTTTCAGTATTATGCAATTAAAGGAAGCTATAAAGAAAGCAAGGAAAGCTTTCTTATTTGTAGACTTTTAAAAATAGAGACGTTTTGTTTTGGGGACTAGCTGAGTTGCTTTTTGGCCAACATCATTCATTAAGTACACCCAATGATATCTGTCCAGTGATTAAATTCTCCTCAATTCTATGATCCTCACTTAAGAGAAACTTCCATAATGAGCATGCTGAGTTCTGGAATATCCTGCTGTGGCCATGGAAGCGATTCCTGTTTTTTAAATGAGCTCAGCTCAAAAAAAGTGTCTTCTGTGAAGGTGAACTTCACTTCTAATTATTGGTCTTCAAATGGCTAGGTAGCATGTTCATGAACTGAAAACTGTGATTGTCAATTATGATAACACATTTTCATTAGTCTGTACAGCCCACAAATGTGTAGGCATGTCATAAAGTTAATTAAACCTATTTTCTGCGTGCATGCAATTGAAAAATGTAAATTAATTTTATCTTGGAGTTAAGCTTATTTTTAAAAACAGTCTTTACACAACTAAAGGAAAACTGATTTAAATTTTTTTATTATGTGATGGAAGAAGATGAAGCTAGTGTAAGATATCTTTTGAGCTCTGTGTATGAAAGTACAGAGTAAGTTTACAATATGCTTGTAAACTGCCCTATAAATAAGGAGTAAACATACAGTTCATAAGCAGTCTTAATTTCTCCAGAAGATTAATGATCCATACTAAGAACAATATCCTAGAGGACAGTCATGGTATCATTTTGCAGGTTGAATATGGCTTGTTGAATATGGCTTGTTAAATGTACTTCAGACAAAGATATATAGGCTTTATTTTAGTTCCTTTTTTTTTTTTTTTAAACTGTAATCAAGCCAAGTACACTTACAGAGTAGGCTAACATTTATATTGGTCTAAAACTCAAAATCTCAAAAATAAAACAGAGAAAAAGATAGTGATAGGTATAAACAAAGGATAACGTATGTTTTAAGCGGAGATAAAATATGGAGGGGGAAAAAAACCTTCAGAAAAGATTCAGCATGATTAAAGGACACTGATAAATAGGGAAACTGGTGGAAGAAATGGGATAAGAATTTAAAGCTCCTCCTGCAGTATGCTGAAATAAGGAAAGGGATGTTAAATGTTCTTGGATGTTTTTCATGCATTTTGTGTAATTGAAGAGCAATTAAAGAACAGGCTGCTTGTTAGTTTGAGCATTGGACTGGGACTTGGGAGACCCTGAGTCTTTCTCTGTTTCTGTCAATAATCTTCTGGGACACTTTGGGCAAGTTCCTTCCTGTAATCAGTGCCTCAGTTCCCTTATCTGTTACATGGGGCTGATCATACTGCCTTGCATTTTACAAATTAGATTTAAGGCACGTGAGGATGTAATGAATCAATATGGACGGCACTCTGGGTTTCCAGTAAAGAGATGCATGTTTGTGTTTTAATGGAATGGTGAAGCTCAAGTCTTGATGGCCTGAACTTCCTAATATTAACACAGGAAAAAATAGTTTGGCGGGAATTGGTTATATGGTGCAACTGTTCTACTCCCCATACCAGGGATTTTCTTTAATGCCATGATTAACTTCTCTCTCATCTATTTTTGTGGTGGTTTTAGCTCGTTAAATCCTAGTGATTTGAAGAAAGATTCCTCTGTTCTCCACATTCCTAAATCTCAAGGAAGATATGGGTCAACACCATCACCTCAGCCAAAACTTCCCTCCCAGCACCCACTACAAAAACAGGGAAACAGTAATACCGACAAAACTCAGGTTGCACAGCTACACACAGCCAATGGAGTAGTAGCACAAGACCAGACGGAGGATGAGGACAGGAGATTACCAGATCGTGGCTCTGCTATGTCCACCTCGGTTCCAGATAAAGCCATCAACAGCAGCTTGATAAATGGGGAAAGAGAAAGTGCTTCCAGAGAGTCATTGCAAAGTATGACTGCCTGTGAAGGACAGATGCTTAACAGCTGCTACAGGACTCCAAGCAGTGATACACTGCTCCCATCTGAAAATGAAACTCTAGAAACTAATACTAATGTGAAGGAAGAACCAGCTGAGGAAACCAGTAAGCAAGATCAACCTGTAGAAACAAAGGTAAAAGGAGAAATTGTTTTCTTCTTGCTATATTGCTACTTTGTGTGTTTTCTCTAGGTTTTTATTTACAAAAATAAGCTTTCAAGAGCAGGTCAGAAAGTTGAAACTTTTGGTTATTTTCCCTCTGGAAATAAGACAGGATAAAAAGTTTTGCTTGCCTTTCCCCCTTTCCCACTAGCTACCTGATGTTTAAAAAAAAGTGAAACTGAAATTCATGTACGTGTTTAGCACTATGCTTCAGCTGTGCTGGACTGCAAGGGACACATATTAGTGGTGTATATAAAATAAAATTCCACATGTAGTAAACTGCAGCAACAGGGCTTCAGGCAGAACTGTTATGTGAATCCTTAATTTGGCTGTAGTTGTCAAGTCAAAGCTGGAATGGCAGTTGCAGTCTGCGAGCTATCAGATGCAAGGTTCATAAATAGATGCCTTGCTAGCAAGGAGAACTTATATCATGATGAATTTGAGCTTCCTCGTAAGAAAAGTTTTTAATAATTAAGGGAAATAAGTGGGTGGAAGAAAATCTGTCTTGGGAAATTAATTGCTGAAAAATTGTGCATATTACCACTTTAAAAAGTTTGATTGTGTAGTTTGCCTTTTTGTACTGAAGCACTGGTGGGCAGTGAACATCATTAACAGTTCTGGTCCAGCTGTGCCATGTGTGAGCTGTGGCAGAAGGGGCTGGGCTGGAACCTCTCAGCCTTCCTCTTCACCCCAGAGCCAAAAAGCCGAGTGCTGATGAAGCTCATCACTGACAATCAGGAGTACACCTGCATCAGTTAACTACAGACCTCTCCAATTCTGGAGAGGGTAAGTTCTGTGTGTGGGGAAAGGTGGGTCTCAAATTCTCATGTATTATAGGATAAAATATCCTGCATAATCACAAGAAGGTGCTGAGTTGTGTGGGTTTTCTTGTTTGTTTTAGGAGCCGTTTTTCCCAGTAATGAATGAACATTATGATTCCCATCTAAACATAAGCCTGGTCACAGTTCAAGGCACCTTTAACCTGCCACATCTCTCATTTTGTTTCTGTCTCCTGTTTGGTAATGCCTGTTTCCCCTCTCTGTGCCAATAAAGTGCTGAATGCTCCATGGGCAACAGTGTTAAGCTTGAATCCAAGTCATGCAGTAAGGTGCTGGCAGCGTTTTCAGGAAAAAGAAGTAGGAGGCAGTCCTGTTGTAAAGTCCAGGAAGGAACTGGGCAAATGCTAATGGCAGCAATCTCATCAAAACCTGTCTTTGAGCTGCTGGGACCAACACATGTGATCTGTCCTACTTTGACCAAGAGTTAAATTGTTGAGTGACTGCTACTAGATGGGTTGTTTGCTGGTGCTTGAAAACAAAGCCAAACAAACCCGTGCAGGATAACTCTTAAGTCAGCATCGGTAGAGAACTGAATCTGTAAAACTGAACTTGGTCACAGCAGCATCTCCTGAGATACCAGCTTGCTTATGATAGAAGGACATCCCCTTTAGTTTATTGAGATTAAGAAGCATGTCTACCACAGGCTGATCTAAGGGCCATGCTTTACAAAATGAAACACTAATTTAATTTGGATTGATGCAACCTATAGATGGCAGTCAGCCCTGTGGAGGTCTAAGAAGGTGCTGCCATGCTGTCTGGAATAGGGGGAGGGTGATGAGGAACAGGAGAGGTCTGGTAGAGCTTCAAGCTGTTTCGGCATCCAAGCGGGCATTGGGAAGAACTAAAAGTGTTTAGACAGTCAGTGATTTTGCTAGAGCACCCACATAGTCAGCAAAGAATCTTAAAACTGGGATGCGGTCCAGTTGAAGTTGTGCTGCACAAACAGCCTTCTTCTGCCCTTTTAAATTAAGCAAGTGTAGGTACAATTGAGTAAAAGCAATAGGAGCAGATGCACATGAGTCACGGACAAACTTTAAATTATGCATCTTATGTATGTGTATTTTGATACTGATGCAGAGTATCATCTTTGTCGCTTGCATGCTGTACTTCCTAACTCAGGGAAGAGAAAAAAAGTGGTGCTATCTCTTTGTAAATGCATTCATGTACAGCAGAAGTAAACTAAATTGTCTGCTGGAAGGGGTGAATTAAGTTGGGAAATGGTGCAAAACCAGAGTGGAAATTTCTTTTTAGACTTGGAAAAGAAAGCTTATTTTGGAATATTGTTGCTCTTACTGTTATTTTTTTTCCCCTTTATCACTGTAGATCTGACTAAAGTTAGATTATTGCAGGTTCTGGAAGAGCTGAGACAAAACTTAATAAATTTGACAGTGTTCTGAAGCATTTTCCCCAAATGACCACAGTATACTTCATTTTTCTTATTTACTGAATTAGTTTGAAAGTCGCAAACAACAAATATCACAAGCAAAAAAGACAATTTAAAGTGAAAAGCTTCCTGCCTTGCAGCAGAAACACCTTCTGTTGTAAAATTTAGTTTGCCTAAAACGCAGAGGCTGAGTAGCACAGGAACATCCCAATCAATTAACTTCCTGAATAACATCTTGTGAGAAATCTGCTGCTAGAGCTAGCTGAAGACAAGAAGACAAATGCTTTGGTATTTGTTGTGAGACTGGTAGGAAATAGGGAGATAGACAGCATGCATTCCACAGATGGAGAAGAATCCATTGCACATCTTTAATAATGTCCTTACTTGATGTCTCCTTCTAATGGAGATGTTGGGGGCCCTGGTGTTTCAGAAGCAAAACTTGGTGGGAGATTGTAGATTTTTTTAAAGTGAAGTTTTGATTTAAATAGGGTGAAACTTTGTGGCTAAGTTAAGTTAACAAAACTGTCAATCTTCAGCACCTAATATAAATGTATAAGTGCTCTTTGAGAAGAGTCCCCTCTTTAGGGAAACCAGGATCTTTACTGCTTTCCTTGGTTGCTGCACAAGAAACTCGCCCATCAGTTCTGCAGTGGACTTTATAGAGTTAATTCATTGTAGGTCTTGCAAAATTTAGTGCTTTCCTTGATTTCAGAAACTGAGAACTTGAGATTAAAGGAAATCTTAAATTCTTCTGGAAATTTACATTTATATTCCGAGTACTTAGGGAAGAAAGCTTTGGATTATGAGGCAGCTATGACGTGAATGGTTTTAGAAAAGAAAAACCCACTCTGTTACTTTATACGAAACTCGTCATTACAAACAAACACAACATAGATCGAATGGCATTTGTTCATACTCTACATCTCCCACCTTGTCTGTGTTGCTTAATATATTACTGCAAAGCCCTTGGGGCAAGGGCTACACCTACATAGGAGTAAATAAAATACAGCATCACTATCATGTTGGTAGGTATATTTTTCTTGATAGGAGTTAGGTCCTGTTTGTTCTGGATAATAAGTTATGGCTATATTGGAATTTAGGTTTAAGTAAAGGCTGCTTTAAATTACCATGATTTTTGCAAGGACAATGGAAAAACAATGTTAGAAAATATGAACACAGATGCAAAAAGTTCATACTCTCAGGGGCATTTTTCATACCTTTTCTTAATTTGAGAGTTCAGTAACAATTTAGGTAAAAATGACTTGGTTTAATTTCTTAAGCATCTATAGTAATGTGATTATTCCAAGGATGTGCAACACTGTGTTAAAGAATATATAACTAGGCCCAGGTGAAATACTTACTGTAAGCATCCATGTAGAGATACAAGATTGCAGTCCTGCCTGATTCACCTGCTGCTGTCTCACACTTTGGATATTTTGATCAGCAGCTGAAATCGTGTACCTCTCATGTGAATGTTCTATATCACACTAGCCGTTTCTGTTCGGTTTTATACATTGAGTTGCCATGTGTAACGGACTGTCACAGAAGTTTGAAATGTTACCTGAAATCATTAAGAAGTTGTGCTTGAAACAGTAGAGTATGTGTCCAGTTATACCTTGTTGTAAATTTTTGTCTCAGTATTTTTTGTTAACGATGAGGAACCCAGTATAAATACTGATGTTCCAAAAGCATAAAGAAATCATAGGAGTGAGATAGAAAAATTCTCCAGAAACAAATGTGTCTGTACCTTTTATTTCTTTTATCTTATTATCTTACTTGTGAAAAGAGATGTATGCATTTATGGTTATATCCCATGAAAATAAAGCTTAACTTGTAACTTAAAAGAAAATTAAAATTCTCTTTTACTGTTCATGATTAGATTTGATACAGTAGTTCTTTACAGATTTGATTCAGTCGTTCTTTAGGGAAGCATTGAAGTTCCCAGAAGTTGAATACTAACTTCATGTTTTCTGTGTTTTTTAAGGTTTTTTTCTTTTAAGAATTTTCCTCCTGTATCCCTACAAGGTTTTTCAAGGCTGTTTTGTTGAACAGGTCTAACAACAAATGGCTCTGTGTCATTCTTATTGTCACAAACATCATTCAGGATCTATTTCCAAATTATGTTGCAAGAGTTGCATCCTGCAACTTGGAATAGACAAATTAGGGTCTGCGGAACCTGAACCCCTTCTTGGGGTCACTCTGCCCTGGGCCCATCACGCATTCATGCCTGATCCAAAGATAGGGTTGGTGGGCAGCGGAGCACAGATGTGCAGTGCAGCACGGTGTGTGCCACGACAGAGCTGGGATGGCTGTGAGTTCCCTGAAAGAAGGAACTTTAGTTTACTCCAGCTTCAGCACTGGCTTCATGCAATGGTGAGTCTTTCCACTACAGGTGCCTTGCTGTGTAGCATGGCACTGCCAGGACCCGTGTGTCCACCCATGTCCCTGTTCGCTCCATGTGCTCGGGACAAGTGGCTGCCACTTCCATCAAGAAAAGCTCCATGGGACATGGATGTCAGTGCTAGCAAATGAGTGTGGGACCTGTTGTTCCCAACAGGAAGGAGGCTGGAGTGACCTCATGGAAATCAGGTGCTTTTTTTTAGATAGGATACTAGATAAGACATTGAAGTGGGTGAATGAATAGGGAGGAGGATGGAGCTAGTAGTAGAAAACATACCTGGGAGTTCATGTAACATGTGGGCAAACATTGAGATGGCGAGGTGGGAAAGTGAGGACTTCCCTAAAAGAAAAGTAGCAATACAGTTTTCTGTTACTCTTGCACTGATCTGACCCTGTAGGCGGGGGTTCTTATGCTGGAATAAGAACATGCCACTGTGATTAAAAGATACCTCATCTGTGGTGTCTATTTTTTTCTCATGTACAAGATTCATGAGTTGTAGTGTGATTGTTGTAAAGACTGAGATTCAAGAATTAAGATGATGTGTAAGGTTGATACTGAGAGGGTGGGAAAGCTGTGATCAGAGAATAGTGGGAGAGTAAGAGGTATGTGCCCTGATTTAGGAGTGAAGATTAAATGCTTTTTCTGAATTGCTCATTTTGCGTGATATTTTTGAGTCTGCGATGTGTGATTTTCCATCTCTTCGTTAGTTCATTTAATCTTCTGAAATTTCAGATTGGTTTTGTAGTAGCGCTTCAGGGAGAAAGTGGGGTTTTGGGGAGAGAAAGAAAATGAAATAAAATTACTGAGGAACTGGTAGCATTGATGGTTCTGTGCCTCAAGTCCACATGTGAGATCCCTTGTAAATGGCTGCACTAAATGGCATGCTGTAGCTGTAATAGCTAATCCTTCAGCTCCCTGCAATGTCTCTTGACAGCACTTAAAATGCTGTTCTGTAGGTTACTGTGGTTGCTATGCTGATTTAAACAGATTTAATGAACAGCTTTAAAGTCACTATCGAAAGCCTGTATTTAGGGAGGAGGCTTGCCGTGTAGCAGTGTGGCTGTTAACACTGCAAATTAGAATTGAAATGTGTTCAAATTTGGAATACTTATTGAATAGTGAAAAGAGGGGAAAAAAAACCACTGAAGTCCTTTAAATGAAAAGACTGTACTTATTCAGTATTCTGCAAACCATCTTTATAAATGTACTTGCAAATGTTTATCGTACTCTTGTGGAAAGCAGTGTGCAGTTTGAAATCAGAAATAACTTTTTCAAGCTCTCCTCTGTATTTCTTTTATGAAGACTTTCTACGGTTTGTCTAGAAAATTACCCCTTTCCCATAAGTGCTGTGATAAGACTGCGATTTACTTAGGAAAGACTCAGATGTTGTTAGATGTGAAAAGTTTTCAGTGCTAGCATTAAATTTGGAAGAAAAATCTTGTAATGAAAGTGTCATTTTGTTGAATCTGACACTTGTGAGCATGAGGCATTTCCCTAAGGATTTGATAGTTTTAGAAGGCTGTGCTTTCATTGTTTGTTTTGAAGTAACTTCTCATAGCAGCTCATAATTTTGTATTCTAATGTATTTAGTTAAATATTGAAACTTGAATGGACATTCTAAGTTTCCCTTCAGCAGAAGAATCAAAAATATATTTTGTGGAATGAAAGACTTTAAAGGGAAAACTTCCCTTCAGATGCAAATATTACTTCCATAAAGATCTAGCAAAGGAGCCCTCTCATTGTAGTCAGCAATTAATCAGCAATGACTTTATTGATGAACATAAAACATTTTGTACGTTTTTTTCAATAATATTATCCTACAAAGAACATGCGGTTCAAATAACTTTCGAAATGGGGGTGGGGGCAAGCACCCGAGTAATCCCATCTGTTCCCTCTTACTCTGTAAATCAGTTGTTCCAGCTCTGAAAGGTCAGCGGTACTCGACTACCAGGATGTGAGCTGATCTGTTAAGTAGGGAGTTGGTGCTTTGGCAAAGAGCCCAGTACAAACTGAGAAATGCAAAATGTTTTAGCCTTTGAGTTTTACTTAGCAGTTTGATTTTTATCCTCCTCTGACTTTTGTATTTGTTGATTAAACCACTGGAAAGCTTGCGTTTTCCAAAATGGGGTGACTATTACTAAATGTGAAACTTGGATTCCAGTTGCATTTTGTACTGTAAGGTAATTGTATGTTTCTTCATCTTTGTTATTTTCTTCTTTTTTTATATATATTAAATTATGCTTTCTCCAGTATCATGAAAGTTGTTCTTGTTTTTCTCCAGGAGACAGATGAACAGAAACGGCACAAAATTGCCAGTGAACTTCTACAAACAGAAAAAGCCTATGTTAGCCGACTCGACCTCCTAGATGGGGTACATTTTTCTTGCATTTACTTTTATTTTCTTGCCTTGAATTCACTGGAATAGCTATGCATAAGTGTGTATCTAAATTACATTAAAAGGTGGTATGCTTTTCACATTTTGCAGACTTTTTCAGTCAGGCATTCGCAGTTGCCACGTAACTTTGTGTATGTTTCTATTTTAAGAACACTAGATTTTTAAAAGGATCAGACTTTTGTGGATATTAATGCAATAGGTTCTGTGTGTGCAAATGTTACCATAAGCAGTAGCAGCGCAAACCTCATGCTAGTAGCCCTTCTAACAAAGGAGACGGATAATGTTAACACTTACTCGTTTCTTGGCTTCTGGTGACGTGGACAAGGAGGGTATCATTTTATAATACTGAAATCACCTGCCCACTGGAAAATTACTAAATCTTTCAAATTTGAGCCACCTAAACAGAATTTTTCTTTAGTGAAAACAAACCCAGGAAGATGCCCATTCGAAACTGTATATGCCCTATTTTTCCCACTATATGTTTAGACTAAATCCTATTGAAGTGAACAGAAATTACCCTTATGTAAGGAAAGGTTTGAATTCTTGTGCGCTGTAGACTTAAATTGATATTTCTTAAATGTGAAAGACTGTAGCTCTTGAGCATTTTCCTTTATGAGCCTTGTTTACTTTCTCATGTAACACCTACATCTGTTTTACCTGGATACCTGTAGTTATGCGTGGCCTTACTCTGTGGTATTTTCCTCAGACATCACTGTTTAAATTTCTTGGGTCTAATGCATAAGTCTTACACACAGAGTTGAGGAAAAAGTAAAAAGCCTCAACTGATACAATAATTGTTCAGACTGATTGGGGATCTAATTAATTGTCTTCACAGAAGTGGGTTTAGCTAGCAGACCCACACTGGGATGGATATATCATGTGTTTTAAAAGACAAAGTATTTGGGGAGAAAACAAAACCAAAAAAACCAAACCCCTTTGATTTAGAGAAGTTTAAAAAATATGGAAAATGTTTACTTCATTCATAGTTTTTTCTGATGGGTAATGTAGAATTATTTTCCTTGATTTGATCGTAAGTGTATTACTACTATGCATGTTTTCCAAATATTAACTGGACAGAGTTCTGAAAAACGAGTTTCAAGCACAGCTGCTCAACTGCTAATGAGAAAAAGGCAGGAGACTGGGAAGGGACTGTTACGTTTCCCAACTTGGTTAAAAAATTATGTAACCTTTAATAGCCTTCAAAGTAACTTGTCAAAATTAACTAACTGTCCTCTCAGGGATGCAGCAAAGTGAGAGTGTTTCAAAGTATATGTGGAAGTGTCTGGCTTTTTCCTTTTAAGACATTTGTGCTGTCTCAGTTGAGATTATCACAGGCCCTGTCTTCAGACTCTTTTCTTGTTTCCCAAACTTCTGAAGCCCTTTCTAGGGAGAAGCAGCCTGTTCAAGCGTGGGAGAGGGAGACAGAGGGGCCATAGCTCCCCATAAGCACTGTTTTAGGTGATGTGCACATTAACAGCTGCACGTCTCTAGACATTTTGTAGCTGCATCTCCTCAGGTAGAGTGCACTGATGGGGAAAGAATATATTTTTTAAAGACACTATTGTAGAGTCCAGTCAGAAATGGGCCCTTTTTGTGCTTTAAATAGTATGTGGAGACCACTTGTAGTCTGCCAACTACTTTGATTTCAAAAGGATAAGAGGATACAGCATACAAGGAGAGTGGTTGGGCTAATGGTGATCAGACATCATGCTAATTGAAAAGAAAGCAAGCATGGAAAAATACGACTGGAAGACTGAGAAAGCTGAGATGATCTAGCTGTTAAAACAGACAGGATGCCTGGAGACGATCCAAAATGGCACTACTTCAGTTTGGCTTTCCTTATGTCTGCTCTGCCTGCAGTGTTTTCCTGGCTCACAAAACAAAAAGGGGAGTGTAAGGGGAGGAGAAGCTTTTAATGTCTGGTGAGGAAAAGACGATAAATGAGTTTGTCATTACCTGTCTATATTATTGAAATATTAATCTTGCCTCAGTTGGAGTAGGAAGGGTGGATAGGTGGTTTTCCTTTGATTAAAGATAATAGGCTGATAGGTTTGGGGCTCTTTTTCTGTGTTGCAGGTATTCTACTCTAGACTCCTTGAGGAAGCCAACAGAGGTTCCTTTCCAGCTGAAGTGATTAACAAAATCTTTTCTAATATTTCATCGATAAATGCCTTCCACAGTAAATTCTTACTCCCAGAACTTGAGAAAAGAATGCAAGAATGGTAAGAGGCGATTCACTGGTTGATATATTACTAAAACTGTGTCTGTAGGAACTTTGTCACAAGGTTGAGGTAGGGAAGGTACCTTCATAATTAGATGCTCCAGGCTCAGCAAGTACCGTGGGTAGGAGAACATCTGCTCTTCCACTCTTCATCAGGATCTGACTCAGTAGAGCACTCGCGTCATTTGCTCAAAATAAAGGACATGTATCTTGCTGAAGCCAGTGAGATTACTCATGATTAAATGTCTTGCTGAATTGGAGGTTCAGACTGAAATTGTGCGACCTGATGAATTTATTGCACAGAATACAAAACTGAGATAAATAACATGTATGTGTTTTGTGCTACCCTTGTATCACAGTAACCTTTGGCATTATTGCTTTCTGTAATAAGGTGGGATATGTTTTTGGTTTTCTGCTTGAAATCCACATCCAGGTCAGGAATGTTTTGAGGACGTTTTTTCCTCATCTTTTCTTGGTAAGACCTCTATTTGGAGCAAGCCAGAAGGACAGCTGAGGTGTAAATATACTCTGTAATGATCATGTACTATTGTAGTATCTTTCTCCTGACTTGGTGTATACTGTTCTGGAGCTATTAAAATATAGCCATGCATTTTTGGTCTTTTATGTAATTGTGGGGAGAAAAAAAAAAAAACAACCCAGGTCTCAGACCCTTGCTGTTTCCCTAACTTATCTGGGAGAAGGGGACGCATCATTAAAAAAGAAAAAAGCACCCAATAAAAATTTATGAATATTGTTTTATCCAGTTGTTTCACCTCAGCACCTCTTTGGTTGCTGTATTGCATGTTATCTAGGGTTTATTGTGAGGACTTCTAGTGTTTGTCCAGATAGAATTTCCAGTTACACTTGCATATAACACCTTAATTGTCAAAAAATCACACTAAAAAATAAGAAAGTATTTTTCTGATGTATATGAAAAAATCTCAAACCACGCAGTGGTGCTTTAGATAACAAGCTATATATCTCCTGACGCAAAGAGATGATTCCCCTTTAAAATGATGATTCTTTAAAATAGAATAGTTAACCATGCCCAAACACGTTAGCCCTCTATAATCTATAATGCAAGAAAGTAAGTAAAACCTAAGCATCATGGAATGTAGCAAAGTTTACACCTTAACTTACGTTACTTGCAAAATGACCCTGTAAGGTAAATCCACCCTTTTATTCTGATCAATTGAAAAAATCCGATAGGAAATACGAATGCCTGGATTACAATAGAGTGCATATTCATGAGAAGTGGAGTTTAAGTTAGTCCAATGATGTTTAAAAAGCAGCTTACCCTACATCGGTGCTGTATACATTTGAAATTAAATTTGTGAGGCACTCTTAAAATTTTGCTCTAGATACTTTACAGGACACAGAAGATGGGTTGCACTACCATATGTATTTGCAAAGTGCTAAACTGCACACTAATAATGTATATAATAGCTTAAAAGGCTGAAAAGTGCTTTTGCAGATGAGCTTTGAGTGTTAGTGCAAAACTAGTAAATTGCACCGTAAGGTTATTATCTTTCCCACATTGCTTGGAAACAACCTCTGTGCTGTAACTGAGACAGCCTGTTCAAGTGTCCCTAAAGCATTATGCTTTTGGGAGGAGTCAGAAAAAAAAGGGTAGAGCTGAAGATAACAATTTGTGATCACTGCTGAAAGAACAATCTCTCCCCATCACCAGTCTCTGAAACAACAGCTTCTGCTAGATAGAGAGTTAATTTTCCTCAGCAGTTCCCTTAACTGGACATAGAAAATATTTAAGTATGTTCTCTTGGTAAGTTTATGCACCACTTCTGTTGTTCTTTAGCTTCCAGTAAAAATATCTGGATAAAAATTTCTGTCACTTTCCCTGAGTTGTAGTTTGTTTTGAAAACTTAGTTTTTAAATTATGTAGTTTTTAAAGGTAGAAAACAGATTCTTGTTTCTTAGAAGAAAAAGCAGTGTAAATCTTAGCTTATTGAGTGGAAATGAAATTGTCTGGTAGTTGCATTTTGAATGAGCTGAGTAACAGCTGGAGCTGAATATCTCTGTTAAAACATATGGCTTGAAAACACTGGAAACAGCCTTGTTGCAATATATTTCCCATGAAAAGAGCATAACAGAGCATAACAGTGATCCCACATCAAATAGATACTCATCTAACTCGGTCTTTTGTACATGAGGATGATAGCAGATCACTGGGGAAGAATATAAGAACACTGCGATAGCCTGCGGGGAGGCGGAGGGTGATGGTGGTGGAGACATTACGTTGCTCTTTCAACACAAAGTTTTGGAATCTGTGGCAATTGCAGAGCTGACCTACTCATATGATTTGATATGCTTTGAAACTGCAACTTTCAGTTTTGTTGGATGCCTGTTAGCTTGTATATTGGAAGAGGAAGCAGTTGTTCTGCAGTCACCTTTGCTGCACTGTGATTTTACAGATCTCTGCTTAGTTTTCTTGCAGCCACGACAGTTTTAAATGAGATGTTACAAATCATGGTTAGTAAGTCAGCCGTTTCATGTTTGAGTTTTTAGAATGGAAATGTGAATAACATCGTGGTCTGATAACACAGAAATACGAAGTGTTTCTGTACCTGCGTTACAATGTGAAGTCCTGTTTCTTGACCCATATAATGATGCCTCTTTGTTTTCTGTTAATAGTGCAGTGCTCTTTTGGGCCCGTGGTAATGGTTCTTTTTGTGATATCTCTATCGAAGAGAAAAGGAACTGTCTTGCATCTGATGGCATTTAGCAGAACTTCATATTTTGGCTCATGGTGTGGAGTGTTCAAATATGAGATGAAGTAGTTGTCTGTACTTGTAAGTCCATGAAGGGGTGGTGCTGCTCTCAGAAGGTTCTGCTTTCTGTGACTTCCCCTGTCCTTCCTGTTCTTTCAGGGCTCTTTGTGTGACCTGGACCTTGTCTTTCTTACCTGAGATGATGATGAATTTGTGTTTTTATAGCCTCAGTCTTTGAACATATAAGGCCTTTGCATAAAAAGTTGTTGTGAAATTTTTGAATCTTCAGACAGTGAAATTGCAGTGCTCTGTGTAAATAAGCAGCCATTGGTATCCAAGGAGCAGGCATAGCAAAGTGTTCCTACTTCTTGGTTTATGAAAGTTGTAACATTTTCTTTTAATGTCTGTCTAGTAATAGCTATGAAAGTTAAGCAGAAGTATTCTTTTTTTTATGCCAGTTTCTGTAGATGCAATGGATTGCTACAGTCTTTTCAGCTTTAAGGTTTTTTTTTTAATTGCAAAATTTTATAATTACTTATGTGTTAAATTTATGAGAAAACGTTAATGTCTGTGGGTTGTTGTGTGTTTTTTTTGGTTTTTTTTTTCTGGTGACCTTTAAAAATGTATTCAAATTTTCTTCAGTTCTGTTGGAATTGGCATGATTTGTGTTTTATTTTCATTGCAATAAAATGACAACCCAGGGAAGTAACATTCAGTGAATCAAAGGAGCGGGGTTTTTGTTTTAAATTGCTAGCTTGCCTTTGAAAGCATATGTGTCTGCTTGTGTGTAGAGTGGTTGAACAAACACATGAAGCTAATTAAGGGTGGAAAGCCTCAGTGATTTCAGAGACCAACTTCCCACTCCATCTTGTCCCCTTCTCTAGTTACCAGGCCCAGCAGTAGCACAGACCTCTGCCAGGTCATACATAGGGACCTTCTGCCCCCCTAGAAGCAGCTGGAGCTGGACCAGCCTTTGCCACTTCTGGCAATATTCACTATTCAAATAGCTTTTCCCTTCTGCACAGCTTTTCTCTTGGAGAAGTGATATGTGGGAGTAGACTGCTGAAGTAGCTGCAGTAGATTGCTTTGCTTTAGATCACCACCACAACATTGGTTTCAGACTTTCAGAAGTCCAGCGGTACTGAGTTTCTGAATCTGTCCTTGAAAATTAAATGTGAAATGTATTTGCTATTGTATTTCTTGGAGATGCATATGTGCTGTTCTGCTTTCTTTGTGTGCATCGAGAGTGCAGCTTCTCTCTGCCTCTCCATCAGTTTCTTTACTATTATGTTTTATTGGAAGATGTTGTCAGTAATTGGGAAGATGTGGGAAAGTTCTTGAAAAAGACTGGAGTCCAAGGGATTGTCTCTACTTCATAGGTCTTCTTAGATAAATAATGATTTTTAAAAGTTGTAAATGCATGTATTTATATAAGGCATGGAAGGGAAGTTGTGCAGTATGGATTTAGGCCTCAGACAAAGCCATAGGCTAGATATTTAGAGGGTAAAGTGTGCTCAAAAGAAGATAATGTAGTTTTAAGAACTGCAAATAAAATAAATTGGGTCATGTTTTGTAAACAAAGCCTTTCAAGTTTTACATTATAGTTGGCTTTTTTTTCTTTAGTGCTCTATGCGACCTGTCATGCTTGTACATGAACAAAGAGGATATGAACAATCTTTCTATGTTAACTCAGGTCAGTTTTAATGGTTATGTTGGAACTCTGTATGAGGCTATCCCAAACAGAAGGATTCTCTGTTAAACGCTTGAAACTGTTTTATCACTGTGTGTGACTTTTTTTCTTTCCTGTTTGCTCTGAGATTCTGCCCTCTTACTTTGCAGGACCACCACCCCCAGAATTGGAGACATTCTGCAAAAGTTAGCTCCTTTCCTCAAGATGTATGGAGAGTATGTGAAAAATTTTGATAACGCAATGGAATTGGTGAAAACATGGACCGAACGGTCACCTCAATTCAAATTCATTATTCAAGACATTCAGGTAATGGGGAGAACAATGTAGATCTCCAAGTAATGCAAGCATATAAAACGTATAAAGGTCTGTGGGTGAAAAAAAGTATTAAAGAAAAAATTGAATACCAAATCCCTTAGAATTAAGGGTTGTTGGTTTTGTAGGCTTCACATGGCATTCTGTGTCTTCTCCTCCCTTCACACGTGCACAAATACCCACACAAATCCAGCCTTTCCAATGCAACATAGAAACCAAAGTAGAAAGGTTGAAACACGAGAAGACTAAAAAAGTGCTACGTTTTGGCTTAGATACCAAAAGTAAATACTGTTGTAGGCCAGAGTGACATATCAGTGCAGCTGTAGATCCTTGTACTCAATCCCTAAGTACTCTATTGGCTCACACCAGTGCTGTTATGCAGAGCGCTATGCTTTGGAAGTAAGTATATAATCCTAAATGCTGAGACACAAAAGCTAAAGCAAGCTTGACAGTTAAGCTGTACAACCGTTCTTTCTGAAGGTGCGTTTTATACCCTCTAGTGCTCCCTGTGGGTTTCTCTGTGAATTGGCAGGTATGCGTCTTCCTGCTGCAGACTGAGCAGCTAGAAATAGGATAAGGTATTTCTGCTTAAATTTTACTGCTCTACAGGGTCTTGGGATTCTAAGCCAGGGAAGATAAGTATGTGTATTTTATTGTAGTGTTTTAATTGCATCTAAGATTATGGAAAAGAATACGCATCTTAAAATACTTCTGAGGGGGAATGAAACCCAAAGAAAGCATTCCCTTCTCAGACAGCTAAATGGACTAGAAAGGTATATTTTAAGAATTGTTTTCTGATACATGGTCATGAACTGTTCTTATTAATTCTTTGTAATTCTTGATTCTGAGTTATTACAAAACTAAGTTAAAATACACTGCAGTTTGGGAGGTTTTTTTGGTAGGATTTTTATTTGTGAATTCTACTGGGTACTTGGAAAATTCTTTTTACAATTAGTTTTAGGAAAAAATTTTTAATTATTTGGTCTAGAAATGCAGCTCTATTTTCTTTCAGAAGGTCTATCATGCATGTTTCAAAATACATTATTTATGTTTTATCAATCATCACTTTTATTTTAGTGTATCCTAATAACATTTTTGCTTACTACATTGAAATATGTTTACAATTTTTTAGAAGGAAAAAGTGTGTGGAAATTTGACATTGCAACATCACATGCTAGAACCAGTCCAACGCATTCCACGCTACGAGATGCTTCTAAAGGACTACCTAAGGAAATTGCCTCAGGATTCTCTAGACTGGAAAGATGCTGAAAGTAAATATCTTCTAGCCATTGAAAGAGCTGTAATAAGATATTAGTAAGAGGATACTGTAAATTAAATATATTTTCAGGAAAAATAAAGTGAAGAAGCAAAGTTCCTCTGAAAAGAATGGTAGTATTTCTTCAGTGGAGTTGTGAGATAATTTGAAAAAATCTTTTTGAGTAGTGGATGAAGTTAATATAAAAATTGTAAAGCCTTTAGTATTCTCTTCCTGGAGCACGTAAGTTTTGCTATAGTTTTAGAGCAGCGCACAGGTTTTGTTCTGTTTACTTTGCGGATGATCAGGGGTTGCAGTGGTTTTTCTTTGGGGCTTTTTTTTTTTTCTGTGTTTTTGTCAGCATGTTGGTTTGCTTTATGCACACTTGGAATGTATGTCTTTTATTTGTAAAAAAGTGGAGTTAGCCTCATTATTGTATTTT